TCACCCTTCAGCCAAAGAGACAGCCCCATAAAACAAAACGAGACTAAAGGGGCATACCAGCCCAGGGGCAAGGACTAGAAGGTAGGAGGGGACAGGAAAGCTGGTAAGGGGAAACCCAAGGTTGAGAAGGGAGAGTGTTAACATGTCGTGGGGTTGTTAACCAGCGTCATAAAACAGCCTGTGTACTGTTTAATGAGAAGCTAGTTTGTTCTGTAAACCTTCATCTAAACTACAGTTAAAAAAAAAAAAAAGCCACGGTCCTTGCGATGATCTACAACGCCTTGCATGTCCTGCCACCCTGTAAGATCTCCAGCCACATCTCCTACTCGTGTCCTCATTTGTTCTGCTCTTTGCAGAATTCACACCTGACACGCTCCCAACTTAAGGCATCCACACTGAGTGTTTCTACTGCTTGAAAAGCTCTTCCCCGAGGCCTTGCCCAGGCTTTCCCAGGCGTCTCTCCTGGACTCTTCTTCCGTCCACCCCTGGAATATAACAATTTTCCTTTTCCTTCCCCTCCTGACCCCAACTCCCTGTCCCATTTCCATATTTTATTTTTCTCTATAATAATAATGTACCACCATCTGCCATACGTATATTTTAACTTGTTTTTATTGAAGTATCATACACATACAGAAAAATGCACATATCGTAAGAGTACAGCTTAATGGATTTTTATAGTAGAACACACCCAGGCACCCAGCAGCTAGATCGAGACACTGCACATTATCAGCACCCAGAAGGCCCCTCATGCATTCTCTAGTCTCCACCCTCCCAGCAAATGTAACCAAGGACTAGTCTTCCCTATTTTTGTCCTTTATAAAATTGGAATCATACAGTATGTATTTTTTGTTTGGCCTCTTGCTCTCAACATGTTTCTGGAAGATCCATCTACACTACTGCATGTAGCTGTAGACCTTCCATTTTCACTGCTGAGTGAATATACCACCCTAACGTTGATGGGCATTTGGGTAGTTTGCAGTTTGAGTTGTTACACGTATTTTGGTGAACATGTGTATATATTTCTGTTGGTGACATATAACTTTTTTTTACTTATTTATTTGTGTATTGTCTGTCATGTAAGCTTCAGAAGAACAGAGATTTTTTTTTTTTTCTGTTTTGTTCGCTGCTGTGTCCCTGGAACCTAAACGAG